CACAAACTGAAAACATTCACACTAAAATAAGGAACAAGACAATGATATCCACTATCCTGTTCAATGTTGTTTCATAACTATTAACCACAGCTATTGGACAAGAGAAAGAAATAAAAGTGATAAAAAAGGAAAGAAAGCTAAACTGTCATTATTTGCTGGTAATATAATACTCTAAATAGAAGACCCAAAAAACTCTGCAAAAATAATTCTAGACTTAACAGAGAATCAGTAGCATAGATAGATACAAGGTAAACACTAAAAAAATCAATAGCCTTCTTGTACACAAATAATAGACTCACTGAGAGTGAAATTAAGGAAACAGTCCCAATGGCAATAACATAGAAAAAATGAAATATCTAGGAATCAACCTAACGAAAGAAACAAAAGACTTCTACTTTGAGAACAACAACACTTTGAAAAAAATGCCTGAAGAGGATATATGAAAATGCAAAGACCCCCTTGTTCCCAAGTAGGAAGAATCAATATAGTGAAAATGGCCATACTTACAAAACTGCTAAACAGATTCAATGCAATCCCTATTGAAATCCAAACAGTATATTTCACAGAATTGGAGAAAAAATACAAAAATTCATTTAGAAGCAGAAGAGACCTAGAACAGCAAAAACAGTTCTAGGCACCAGAAACATGGCAGTGTGTATCAAAATCCCCACCTTGAAACTATACTACAAATCCAGTGCTATTATAACAGCATGGTTCTGGCAAAGAAACAGTAGTGAGGATCAGTGAAACAGATTAGAATTTATAAAATAACTCCTGACATACTCAGCTACCTCATCTTTGACAAAAGATCCAACCATCCTCACTGGAAGAAAGAGCCTCTGTAATAAACAGTGTTAGAAAAACTGGATTTCAATTTGTCAAACATTAAAACTAGTCCTGTATCTTTCACTATGCACTAAACTAAAATCCAAGTACATTAAATATATAAATATTAAAACAAAAATGCTAAACTTGCTGGAAGAGAAGTTCAGTAGAAGTGTTGAAGATATTGGCTTAGGAAAAGACTTTATGAATAAATCGTCAGTAGCATAGGAACTAGCATAGAGAATCAACAATTGACATCTCATCCTTTTTAAAAGCTTCTGCACTGTGAGAGAAATCAGTAGCAGAGCTAAGATACAAACTACAATGTTGGAAAAATATTTTCCAGCTGTTGCTCATGGAAGGTCTACTATCTATAATATATAAAGTACTCAGAGGTTGGGAGTTTGGCTCAGTGGTTGCACCACCTGCCTCACAATCACAAGAGCATGAGTGTGATCCCTGGTACAAAAAAAAAATCAGGCCCCCCAAATATAAAGACCCAATTCAGAAATGGACATGTGTATATTTACTGCTTTAACCTCTTTGTGTGAGAAATATCTGTTCATTTCAGATGCCCATTTTGAATGGGGTCTTTATATTCAGGGAGCCTGATTTTTTGGGTTCTTTATATATTGCCTCTTAGCTTAGCTGGTGGTTTCTTTTGCAGTGCAGAAGCTTTTTAATGTGATGAAATCCCAGTTGTTGGAATAGCTAAAACTTAGAAACAGCCCAAATGCCCATCATTTAGAGAATAGATAAAGAAGATGTGGTCTTTCTATAAAATGGAGTACTACTCAGGAATAAAGAATGAGAAACTATAGTCATTCTTAGGAAAATAGATGCATATTGAGGTCATACTCTTAAGTGAAATAAATAAGACACACATGAGGTCATACTCTTAAAAGAATCATATCACAGTGATATATGCACACCCATATTTATAGAGGCACAGTTTGTAATAGCTAAAATGTGGAAACTGGACATACTCTTAAGTGAAATAAATAAGACACATGTGTAAATCCTGAATAGTTTCTCTGGTGTGAAAAATTAAAGGTGTAAATAAGATCCAAATTGTATAACTGACAATGTGAAGTAGGAAAAAAAGGGCTAAAGGTATGGGGGAAATGGGAAGAGTAGGGGAAAGGAAATAGGGGTGAAGAAAAATATGAGAAAAGGAAAAAATGGAAACAAAGCCTTTGTAAATAGGGGAGGGTGGAGGTGGTGAAGGGAGGACAAGAGTATGGGGAAAAATGAGAACCAAGATCTGTCATGTAAAGTTACAATATCCCAATTTTAAATGTAACTGTGCTCTATGCTTAAAAAGCACCAATAAACTCAATGAGAAAAAAAAAACTCATGAAAATATTAAGACTGTCTCTCAAACTTCAGTCATTGAATATTTTTTGGAACAATTAAAAGGATTGTTATTATGGTAAGAGAAAGTTGATTTTTAAACATAAGAAAAGTAACATTGTTGGCAGATGCTGTTGTGGACAATTAAGATGAACTAATACTTGCAGTATGGTGTGAATTGGGCTTATCAAGAGGTAGAACCTGTCTGCAAAGATATGGAATATTGTAGAAAAAAATCTCATCAAATATGAGCAAATTAGGTTATACCTTATAGATAGTAGAGTTCAATGAGTAGATAATGAATACATAATTTGGTGTAAGAAATCTAACAGTAGTAGGCTACAACTTATAAGAAACTTTGCAGAAGACAGACACTCTGCAGAAAATAACTTTTTTGAGAGAGGCCTTAAGCTTCAAAGTTTGAAATAAGGGAGCAGAAAAATAACTAAAAAATATAGATCTCAATGAAATCTTCAAAGATCTCCAAAGATCATTTGCAGAGCAAAGATTAACTTTTTTTCTAGTACTATTGTTCTAGACAAAAATCCCAGTGCCTACCTCATCTCAGTTTTATATTTATGATACCGCCTGCCCTCACCAGGATGTATCCATCATCTCTAGTGCTATTTCTGCTCTACAATCTGCCCATGGGAAACCCTCCTTGTTTTTGCTGAGACCAGGTGAGAGAATTACAGGTGAGGGCCAACAAGAGGACAGTTTTAGTTTCTAGCATCCAAATATTTGAAATACTAGAGCTCCTAATTAAATAAATTGTTCTGTTGTTTTTGCATTCTCCAAACTATTCACCTCTCTTCTGGATACAGCAAAGGATGCAGAATGGAAAATTTTCATGTAATTATGTGTCTATACAAAATCACCACAGTGTGAAAGAAATCAGTTTCTTCAAGTAGAAATTTCCCCCCTTTGGCTAGATTAAAAATTCACAATTGAACTCGGATTTTCACTCTAACCAATGTGTAATTTCTTTTTCCTCTTTTTTTTTTTTTTTGGTATCTGGGATTGAACTCAGGTCCCTGCACTTGCAAGGCAGGCCACAGAACCACTGAGCTAAATACCCAGCCCCCAATGTGTAACTTCTTTTTAAAAAATCAACTTTAGGAAAATATCTGTGATATACTTCCATAGAACCTTTAGAAATTTTATAGACAATTTGGCGTCCATGGTGTTATGAAGAAAAAAAAAAGATTTTCTTTGAATTATTTATTCATTTAAATTTTTTTTGAATTGATCATTTTTAAAGGTATCAAATAACATCGTGCACTTTTGTAATGTACAATGAGGTGTTTGAAAGAAACATTGTGAGATATTTAAATGTAGAAAATGAACATATGCATTATCTCATGTAGTTAATTTTTTTGTTTAGAAAATATGCAATAGCAACTCAGAATATTTCTTTCTTTTCCTTCTTTTTTTTTTTTTTTTTTTTTTTGATACTGGGTATCGAACTCAGGTCCTTGCACTTGTAGCAGAACCACTGAGCTAAATCCCTGGCCAGAATATTTCAATAATACAATATACCATCATTGATTACTCATTGGGCTCTACAATTCATTTCTTGAATTCTTTCCTCATATCTAACTGAAAATTTGTATTGTTTGATAATCGCTTTTTCAAAAACTGCTTCAGCCTTTGATAATCATTATTCTGCTCTCTATTAGTGTGATCAAATTTATAAAATTAACATGAATGAGGTGGTGTGTTGTTATAGATGAGTTGGAACTATAGAGATGCACCACATCCTGTGCCAGATTTGAGTCCATTTTTTAAAGCCTGTGTCCAAGAGGGGCTAGTGCACAAATAACTATTGGAACTGACAAGCAGTTTGATTTCTCCTTTTAATCCATTTTTTCAGTTGGGGAGGGCCCAGGGGTGTGTGAGCAGAATTTTACAAAAGCAGAATCATGCTAGGTTGTTGTCAGTGGTGGGGCACAAGGAAGTTTCACATACTTATTTGAGCTACAAAGTATCCTGCGACTATAGCAAGTTTTCTGCCAAGCCAGATGTGGGTTTTGGGTGTTATGGCCTCACATGTGAAAAATGGTGTTGAAGCTCAAATGGAGTTGGGTTGGATATCACAGTATTATTATTTTTTTCTTCACCTGACTTACTTCATATATATTATTATAATTCATCCAGTTTTAGTTTTTAGAGTGCTGTTTTTATAATGAGATGGCTTTAGATAACTTATCAACTGCGTAGTTTAGAATGCTAGAAGAAAACAGTTCAAATTTCTCATCCAAAAGAACAGTCAATGGTTTAGGAAACAAATATGTTAAAAGATTTTCAAACATTTCACAATGTATTCTTGAGTCAAAACATAACATAGCCCAGCCTAGCAGGTTCTGACCAGTGACCACCTGGCCTCGCCCCTTTCCTACTAGCAGACGGAGCTCATCCACTGAGATATTTAAAGAAGAGGGCTTCCTCAGATTAGGGAAGTAAGGAAAGTATAAGTCAGACCTAGGATGGGCCAGCACTAGGAACACCAAAGAGCAAAGGGACAGCCCTTTCCAAGACCTGAAACTGGGCATCAAGGTATCTGTGGAATTAGTGCAGGTTGTGACTGGTGTGATCTGACAGAAGAGGTAAGACACTACAGTGGAGGCAGGGTGAGCACTCTCCTACTGTTCCACCAAATGCTGCCAAGCTTAGCACATGTGTAGTATCCCCCTCCCACCAAGGTGCTTTCAAGATGTGATGTTTGCATTCACTGTCCAGCAAACCCAGTGAGTTCAGTGCCTATGTACTGAATTCTTAGCAGAGGGGCTGTCTTCCACTGAGGATGTAGTGCCACTGCAGTAATGGGCTGCACAGACTCTAGGAGAGGTATGCTGAGAGACCTGGGTGCAGGTGGAGAGCTGAGAATGAGCAATAAATGAGAAAGTGAGACAGTGCCCTTGTTGAAAGAAGTATGGACGAAGTTCACACAAGTGACACAAGGGATTCTCAGGGACAGAAGGGACAGAGGTTGAACAAGCCCCTCCTGAGATCAGTAGATCACTGTGGTCTGCTTCCACCCTGTGGTGTTCTTCCCCCTTTGAGACCATTGAAGTTGTCTTTTCATAAGATAGAGGTAAAACCATCTGGCTCATCAGGCCCCAGGAATGAAGCTGTAATCTGATAGAGCTCTGCTTCAAAAGGAAATAGAACCCTCACTCTTTACTGACTGGTATGCAAGAAAACAAAGCACTGGAGAAGAACAAGCTCAAGTGTTAGTCCACACCTTCAGATTACTAGTCCCAACCACAGAGAACTCCAGTTCAACCTCCTGCAACTGCTACAAGAAAAAGAACTTTCCTTCTATATAATCTAAGGAAGAACTTACTGATTGAATTCTCACTGCATTATAAAATGTACTTTCTTTTTCTCTCCTACCTAGTGTATATGTGTAAGGTGTTAGTATATATGTGAAATGCAAATTAGAATTAATGAGTGGCTCACTTTAGATAATATCTTTTGTGGTCATGGAAGGTTAACACTCAGCAAATTTGTGTGGAGGATTCAAACATATGCTTTCTTTTAGTAGCTCATTAGTCTGGCCTTTTTAGCAATCTCCCATTCCTTCAATCTCCCACTGTACTTTCCTCCAATTTCTTTTTCTCGCCCCCACAAATAACCACCCAAAGCCCCATTCCCACATTCAAGATATAAAAATACACCAAAGGCCCTTTCTTTTTTCTTTCCTTCATTTGCTTTGATATTTATTTCTTGTTACCTGACATTTTTTGCTATTTTTCACTAGTATATATTTATGATGCATAATAATTGTGTTCATCTTGGAGAATTGTTACATATTTACATCACATCTTAATGATTTTGGATTGATTTTTTTTTTTTTTGGCTTTTTGAGACAGGGTCTCACTATGTAGTTGAGACTGACCTGGAACTCACTGTGTAGCCCAGGCTGGTCTCAAACTCACACTGATCTTCCTGCCTCCTGAGGGCTGGGAATATAGGCGTGTGCCTCCACCCCCAGCCTACATCTTAATGACTTTTATTTCCTTTTTCCCTCCCTAATCTACCTTTTCCCCAATGACAGATACACTTCACAACTCTCCCAATCGCTCTACTTGTTTCTTATTATCTGTATTTTATTTGATCTTTAAATTATTTATATATGAGAAACCATATTACATATATATTTATATATATATGCAAAACCATTTTACATTTAACATTCTCTGATTTGTTTTCTCTTAGCATTATGCTCTAAAAGTACATCAATTTAAAATAATCCAAATTTCTTCTTCTTATGTCTCAGTAGTACTCATGTATAAATGCAACTTATTGTTTATCCATTTATCATTAGATATAGTCCACTTCTAAGATTTTTGTAGTATGACTTGTGCTGCTATAAACAATGCACACATATATACCTGTGTAAAACTGAAGACATAGACATAGGCAAGGGCTTTCTAACTAGAATACAACTTTCACAAGAATTGACACCAAGAATAAAAAAAAAATAAGATTACATAATGTTAAGAAGTGTCTGCACAAAGCCAGGGATTTAGCTCAGTGGTTCTGCTTGCCTTACAAGTAAAAGGTTCAAAGCTGGATAACCAGTACCAAAAAAAAAAAAAAAAAAAAAAAGATATGCAGATACACTCTGCATAATGCAAAATAATTTGCCATTTACTCCACAGATAGAGTACTAATGTCTAGAATATAAAAATAACTAAAACATTAGAGCACTGCCGCCATAGAAGACCTGATCAAAAATGGCCAATTGAGATGAAAAGATATTTCTCAAATAAAGAAGTACAAAGGGTAAATAAATGCATAAAAATATTTATGAGAGAAATGTAACATGAAAAATACTGGAATTCCATCTCATTTCAGAAAGTAGTAAAAGAATGCAGTAAAGTTGTGGAGAAACATACAATTTTGGTGGGAATGCAAACTAGATAAATTACTATGGAAATCGGTAAACTAAAAATTAAATATACAGCTAAATATAAAAATTCCCTATGACTCAGCTATATACTTCTTCTGACTATCTTCTCCCAAACTGTAGAAAACATCTTCACTAATTTCTCAATTATTTCATTCATTTTCTTGGCCTCACTCCTTCCCTTCCTTTCTACATCCCAGCCTGCTTATCATCAACACTATTTCATTATCTATGGCTTTTACAACAATTAAATAAGTTTTCATTATGTAACCTCACATGTCAATGTTTTAATTGTGAATATTTGAATTAAATATGTACAGAGTGCTGCATAGTTGCATATTTACTTATATCTTCCCACCCTCATTTTGTGTAAAAAGTGTCTATGGAATACTAATGCACAAAATCAAACATGTGTCTCAAAATTCCTCTCCTCAACCTCTCAGAAGATCAAGAATAACAACCTGTCTTCTTGGAACTCTTTCTGTGTATGTAACTTGTCACAGTGCTTGGGAACCTGCTCATCAGTCTGCTTGTTAGCTGTGACTCCCACCTGCACACCCCCATGTACTTCTTCCATGCCAACCTGTACTGTATTGACATGTTGCGATCTGTTTTATCTTCATCGCTGTCCCAGAGATGGTTGTGCACATCCAAACTCAGAGCAGTCATCTCCTGTGTGGGCTTCCTGACACAGATGTGTCTTCTGACTTTTGGATGTAGGGATGGCATGCTACTGACTGTGATGGCTATGCTCTGCCACTCACTTAAAGCACCCAAGCACCCTGATCCCATGTCTATGTGTCTTGTTGCTTTTGAAATTATTTTCTGTATCCTTTTGTATTCTCACTTGCATGACTTAGTTTGCTTACATATAATGTGCTTCAAGGATGTTTTCTGCCCTGAACCTTTATAAGTACTTAACATTGCATGTTTTGATGTCATTACCAATAAGAAAGAAGGGAATGCAATTAATATGAGAAAAGGAAAAAATGGAAACAAAATCTTTGTAAATAGGGGAGGGTGGAGGGCATGAAGGAATGACAGGGGTATACGGGAAAGTGAGAACAAAGATCTCTCAAGTAAAGGTATGAGATACAAATGATGAATGTAACTGTACTTTATACTTAAAAAGTACCAATAAACTCAATGAAAAAAATTATAAAATGAAAGCAAAGTCATTGTAAGTAAGGAGGGGAGTGGGGGTTAAAGTGAGGGCAGGGGAATGGGGAAAATATAAGAACCAAGACAGATTTCAAAAAAGTACAAATTTCCAATGAAGAATGTTATTATATTGTGTACCTAAAATATGCCAATAGAAATAATTCAAGAAAAGATAGTAATGTATTTCACTCTGCATTATTTAGTCATTATCCCAACTCAAATATACTTTTTTTTAATACTGTAACATTATTTCATCCCTTCTGCAATCTCATCAGGGGGTGGGAGGCATAAAGTCTTTTCAATACACTGGTTTTCTATATTATGTATCATTTGCTTGTTGATTGGAAGAGGCTAGGAAATAACATAGTATCATACTCTCCTTGTGGTAGTTGTGTGGCCTCATGACTGACAGTGCACATTTCCATGCTCAATTCCTTTAACTACAGCTGGGGAACACCGACAACAGCAGTTCCTTTATTTTTTTCCCCCTTTAAATTTATTGGTACATTTAAAGCAAACAATACAATTGCATTTATCATTGGGATCTTGTACCTTTACATGATGTATCTTGGTCAGTATTTTCCCCGTACTCCTGCCCTCCCTTCACTGCCTTCACTCTACCCTATGTACAAAAACTTTGTTTCCATTTTTTCCCTTTTTTCACATTTTTTCTTTCCCTTACTTATTTCCCCCTCCCCCTCCCTACTTCCCCTTTAGCCATTTTCTTCCTATTTCACACTATCAAATATGCCACTTTAACCTTGCTCCAGAAGACAGCAGTTTAATCTTAGGACTGTCCACATACACTTGGAACATAGGGTCTTGAAAAATAGCAAAACTCAAAACCTAGAGTTATAAGTACTGTCTTCTCAATCAGAGAAGTTTGAAGTTGATTGCTCTAATTCTTGATCATGATGCGTAGTTGAATGGTTGCTGGCAGAATTTGAATGGAGAAATTTGACATTTTCAAATGGCTGCAAAGTGTCAGTCTGGGATGACAGAGAGTTTCTGCAAGTGTATGATAGTGATGGTTACCCAAAAGTGTCATTAAAAATATGGGGGGAAAATGAGAACCAAGATCTGCGATGTAAAGGTACAAAAGATCACAAAGATGAATGTAACTGTATTGTATACCTAAAAAGTACCAATAAACTCAATGAGAAAAATAAATAATGCCACCAAACTCCGTACTAAAAAATGGTAGTAGTATACTTTAATAGAGTTTAACACAAAGAGAAAAACACTATAAAAATGAATGGATCATTTAAAAAAATCATGAATAAAAAGAAAAATTATATAGTAAACCTTACCTTCTTCCTGAGATGTAGGGTTCACAACCATTGTGAAGCCCACAATATCTTCTTCCTCATCTTTTTATTTTAGGTGGTCCTTCAGGATTAGGTAACCTTGGGAAAATGTGGGTAAATGTGAGTTTGGACAGCAAGCATTCAAGGGCATATGAAGTAAATCATCATCTTCACCCTCCACCTCTTCAGTTTGATTACTTCAGGTCCATATGCAACATATCAGCTTATCTTCATTCCACAGTTTTCAGCAGCAGGACACTCCCAGTGTCATTATATTCATTTCTGTCCCGAGTGTAGACAATCAGCCTTCATTGTCCATCATTCAGTTATGGGGTGTGAGATCCACAGCATTAACCATGACCCAGAAGAGACACAGAAAATCCTAAGGGGCAGGAAGAATGAAGAAAGGATTAACAGAATTATTCGGTCTTCATCAGGAGGACAAACATTGATTCTTACAGAGTGAGATGGGAGGACACTAACCTTCCAAATTTCAGGGACCAGTTATGTTAAGTTTATATATTTGATTGCATTGAAATTCCCAGAAGTCTCAAAGTTTTAATTTCCACCCAAAATGGTCCTACTTTTCATATAGACATCATATCCACACTGTGTAGTTTGTCCATTTTAGAAAACAAGCATTTTTTTTCTACTTGTTTCAACTCTACCCTAATTCAACTCTATCAAAATCTTCCAGAAAATATTTGATGATCTCAGTCATTATATTGTGGTCACCTCAGTGCTGAATCCTTTGTCGATAGCCTGAACAATAGAGGCATTAAAAGTGTTCATAGAAGACCACTCTAATTTTAGGACTGAGATGACAAGTTTAACTTCAGAGTCACATAAGAAACTCCAAATATAAATATTTTAAGAGGAAAAATAAAGGAATGATGGAAAGAAATAGGTAGACAGACATAGTAGAATTGTGGTAAGCAGTAAAGTGGTTAGAAAAATTGGAGCTTTTAAATAATGAGTAGATAGTTTCATTTTGGAAGATGAAAAATTTCTGGAGTTGGATGTTGGTGGTAATTCCTCTATGATGGAATTGTAATGAATATCACTAAATTGTACGCTTGACAATTTTGAAAGTCATAAACTCTTCTTTGAAATTTAAATTTCACCATAATAACATGCCAATAAATATCAAACAAATTTTAAATAACTGAACAATGATAGTAATAATATATGTCTTGCTCTATTGAGACAGAGCCGCAAAACACTTGTGGAAACTGATTTCCAGTTTTGCTCTTCCACAATTAATATTACTATGTCCTAAGTGTTTGTGACAACCTGAGCTAATTTGGCTAATTATGACCTCTGTGCAGTTAGCTTCAAAGGTCATATAATAGTCAGTAATCAGCCCAGGCTTGCAGCCCTTCAGAGGGATGTCTCTGTTGAAATTGGCTTCATAGGAGTCTCCTTCTCCATGGATTTTCTGCACTGGGAAGCCCCCATCAGAGACACATATACATCAAGCCTGAGGACAGAACCAGCATCCACGCTTGATGCCGAACAGATGAATGTGAGATTCATGCTCCCTGATCATGACCAACCTCAGCCGCAGTGCTGATTGGTAAGTGCTGAAGCAGATGAAGAGTGTAGGAAAGACTGCCTGGAGCTTTGTTTCCTACTAATCAGGGCAAGCAGAGTTTGTGTAGGATGATTGGAGGACAATAATGTGAGGGTGTCAGATATGAGGGCTGAGAAGTTCATGATCTGGGTTGTGGGTTCAAGTTTTTGCTTTCCTCTCAGAATGGTTCTACTCCCTACAAATAATGCATCGCATTGGTAACAAATAGATCCAATTAAACTGTTTCCTAAACACTGCAGGGCATTTGGGAAGATGATAATGCAGAGGAGGGGCTGGATGAGAGAACTATTCATAATTTTACAGACACAATCCTGAGTGTCAGGTGCTGATTTCTGTGTTTCTCATTGAAAGATTGACTCAGCTGCATAGTCTTCTCAGATTATATACACCAAGTTATATTTATTTTACAAAACTGACAGTGGCACAACATTTTAATTAAATGCAGAGTAATTTGTTCTGTAAGTTTAGGTAGAAAACACTAAAGTTATCCAGAACAGAAGGGAGGGAGGGGGTAAAAGGGGATCAACAAGCTTTATTTTACATCTATACTAACTCCCCAAGAGGATGGTAAAATGCACTTGCTGCAAACATGTATTCATAACAAAGTAAAATAAAATAAAATAAGAGTTTTCTAGGGATAGAAGGTGCCTGGACAAGACAATCTTAAATGGTTTTAATTTTGACAACTGAATCATTTGACCTTCCCATCACTCTGGCATGAGAACCTTTGCTTCCTGTGTTCTTCCTTTGAGGAGTTCCTGGTCAATAATGGGCAGATCAGTCAGTGACAACCACTGCAACCATCGTAGGAAGGACTGAGATCACAGAAAAGATCAGAGAAAATGTACATTCATTCAGCACAGAATTCTGTCTCTCTTCCTCTCTAGGATACACTCACAGGAGTCTACATTCACCTTGATTCATGTAATCTATCTGAAATCTGAAAAATATACCTTAAGTCAGGTCTTGGTTTTGTCACTGCTCACAAAACAGGGAAGAATTTAAAGATCTGAAAGTGATCTGAAATTATGATGGCTCTACCTACTTCCTGATGGTTGGAAAACAACAGATTAGTGCATGTCATCAAGAGACTGAAAATGTAATTTTAAATACTGCTTATTGAACATACCACTTCTGTAAAATAGAGCAGGCTATTTTAACAGTATCTAACAGTATCTCTGAGACTTAGTGTTGACATCTGGTGTGATTTCTACTTGAGACAAGTGCATTGAGGAAGGACTGGACAAATGATGGCTGCTGCCTATGTGACTAATATGTGAAGAAATAATTAAATCAGAGCAAAAATAGATATCATTACGCATAGTAAAGTGAAAATTAATCATTATTTCTTCAAGAAAAATATGGTATGAATTGAAACTTCTGTTTTCTTACTTCTTTAGATGGCATGGACTTTTTCTTGTGTAAAAACATACTGTGTATTTGGAGAGGAAAAATTAACACTGTTTAATTTCTGATACTGCAGAGCCTATACCATCTCTGGCATAGAGAAAATATCAAACATAAACATGAGTGTTAATCAGTTACTGATTGGTTGACCACCATCAAGGTGGCATCAATATATTTGCTTCTTTTGTGTCTACACATTTACCGCTTCTATTATGGATCCATCAAACTAGAAAGGAGATAACATAGCTCTTTGGGATTATGTCATGGATATTGGCCCAGTTATTCTATTTAAGTTCAGTGCCAATTTAAAATTATTAAAATAATATATCTGTGTTTCATAGGTACCAAATAGATAAAGACTTCCAAAGGTAAGCTCTAGCCTAAATTTAAGCTTTGCACTAAGACCCATTAATGTTTTCACATTACTTGATGACCCCAGTGATCTTTAACAATTGTAATCATCTTCAAATCACCATTTCCTTAGTGTAAGAATCCTTAATGAAAAGATAGCCACAATGACCAAATATTTATTTGTTTCCAAATTCAGATCATAAGTTACACTTATTCTTTTTATTTTTCCATTAAATTTATTGGTACATTTAAGGCAAACAGTACAGTTACCTTTATCATTGGGATCTTGTACCTTTACAAGTACCTGATGTGTCTTGATTCTTATTTTTTCCCATACACCTGCCCTCCCTTCACCCTTCCCTATTTACAAAGATTTTTGTTTCAATTTTTTCCTTTTTACAATTTTTTTATTTTCCCTTATTTCCTTCCCCTCCCTTTCCCACTTCCCCTTTAGCCATTTTCTTCATATTTCACACTATCAATTATACCATTTGAACCTTATTTACACTTTTAGTTTTTCACACCAGAGAAATTCTTGCAATGAAACAGCATTATCATTTGGAAATATGAACACAGAGAGGAAAGATTAATAATCATTTAGAATACTATAGAGAAATAATTATTCATGACTAACATGCTCATTTCTTGAGTTCCATCCCAGAAGATTGTCACTTCTACTGGAGTCAAATGAAAATAATATTTTCAATGTAAAATGAAAGTTTTTGTTAATTAGGAAAGATTATTTCCACCTGGGCCTCAAGTATATTTGTAGCTCTTAATAGTAAGAGGAAACAGATATAATTTTAATGACTAATTATTCTCAACACTGCTTTAGGAAAGGGCCACAAAGAAATTCACCTACAGACATTTGGATCAAAGTTGTTATGATTACAGCTGATAAACCGATTTATTAATTCATTTTTCTCTGCTTTACTGTTTTGTCCTGTTTCCAAATTATATCATAGAGAGGACTGTCAAAATACATGTGTTTTGGATTACATCTTATATTTTTATGAATATTAACTGTTAACATTAAATAGATATGCCAATATTATTGTCTAAACTTTCAGGAATTTCATTAGTTTTTGAATTATGGAAATATTTATCCTTGATTTTGATAGAACTATGGTAAATTTGAGTGCTTCTTGAATTCCTTCATAATGATTTTTTTAAAGAAGCAAAACTATTATTTATTTTTAATTTGTAATAAAATAGGCTATATTTTAGTGAGATCATGACCTTATTGTCTCCAATGCTGGTATTGTGATATTTGCTCAGTAGAGAGTTGCAAAGATGAGTGCGAGCAAGACAACATGAGTAATATACAACAAATAATGGAAGATTTATAAAACTTTGGTTCAGTATGAGTGGAAAATTTTGCCTAAGTTGTAGAATCTGGGAGATTCTGTACTTATAAGTATGAAAGTATAAAACCCATACAGTGTACTGGATGCCTAATTATTCATTTAAGTTTTCCATGCTTTTTAAAAATAGGTGTCCAAACAATACAAATACCTGGAATCTAACATCTGTATTAGAATTCCATCTCACGAATCTCTCAGAGGATCTGGATCTCCAGCCCATTCTCTTTTTGCTCTTCCTCTCCATGTACCTGGTCACTGTACTTGGGAACCTGCTCATCATCCTGGCTGTCAGTTTCGAGTCCCAACTCCACATCCCCATGTACTTCTTCCTCGCCAACTTGTCTTTAACTGACATCTGTTTCATCTCCACCACTGTTCCAAAGATAATTGTGGATATTTTAACTCACAATAGTGTCATTTCCTTTGTTGGCTGCCTGACACAAATGTCTCTGCTGATTCTTTTTGCATGTATGGATTACATGCTTCTGACCGTGATGGCCTATGACAGGTTTGTGGCTATCTGCCAACCCCTGCAGTATTCTTTTATTATGAACTTTCGCCTCTGTGTCTTCTTTGTTTTGATATCTTTTTTATTTAGTGTTATGGACTCACAATTGCATAATCTAATTGTCTTAAACTTCACTTACTTCCAGGATGTATCAATTTCCAGCTTCTGCTGTGAACCTACTCAAATGCTTAAGCTGGATTGTACTGAAAACTTTACCAAAAACATCATCACTTATTTTGCTGGTGCCATAATTGGTTTTTTACCCATTTCAGTAATATTATTCTCTTATTATAAAATCATTTCCTCTATTCTCAGAATCCCATCATCAAGTGGGAAGTATAAAGCTTTCTCCACCTGCAGTTCTCACCTGTCAGTTGTTTGTTTATTTTATGGAACAAGCATTGGGATGTACCTTGAATCTACTCTAGCACATTCTTCTAAAAAGAGTGTGGTGTCTTCTATAATGTACACTATTGTGACTCCTATGCTGAATCCCTTCATCTATAGCCTGAGGAATAAGGACATTAAACATGCCCTAAGGAGGCTAAATAGCAGGAAATTCTAAAATCAGCACCACAGGCAACCAAACAAAATTTGGAGTAAAGGAGGCATCATTTTTAAATCTCTAGTTCTGTAAACTCAAGCTTCTGAACATTTTTGTAGTTTGGATACTTTAGTTTCTCAGCATATGTCATATCAGAATGGTAGAAGATATGTTCATGAGATGGGCAGAATGCATTCTAATTAAAATGAATGTACAATTTTAGTTTTAAAAATTAAACATTTTTTGATACACATCATTGTGGTGCAGATCAATGAGGATGTGAGTAATACTGAAGAAATGATTAAATGTTCATTGTTACACACATATGTATATATACACATGTATGTATATATGGGTTTTATATATATGTATATATATGTGTGTGTGTGTATATATATATATATATTCACCACAATATATATTCACCACAATAAATAATGGTAATACAAGGAGTTGTTTTTTATTAAAAAATAGAAATCAAGTAAATATTACATGTAAACTTCCTTCTGAATACAGAAATATACCAAAACTATATAGATAGTTATTTTCTGATCCATCCATTCCTCGATATGCATTAAGAGTTTCTCATTGATTCAGATGAATGAAACATGTTAACCATGGCTGCTGGGCCTTTTAAGGTAATATAATAGTAAGTGATTAACCTATGGCTACAGCCCTTCCATAACTCCATACTTCTATCTCTGCTTCTTGGATTTGCTGAGGAAGGCTTTCAATTGCAGAAGGAAACTCTTATTTGACATGGAGAGATGCTAAAGACAAGGGCTGAGCCTTCACTGAACTCTTGGTGGGGAGAGACATTGAGTCTCCGTTTCCTTGTTTGTGACATAGGCAAAATGCGGAGTAATCCAGTAAGTGTGAGTAAGACTAAGGATGGAAGAAAGACTCTCTAATGCCCTATTTCATTACCATGAAGAAAAACAAGACAACATGGTGGCCTATATGCAGTATTTTAGCTAAGAGTACCATGAAGTGTTGGTTCTTGGGATCCATATTTCAAAACTTATCCTTAATATAAATTATTTGCTGACCTTGGACCCTGTATCTACTTCCAATCAACATCAAGTCCATGATCCCTGAAAATGTGTTCCTCTAATTTGTTTTCTTAGGATTCTCAAAATTTTATTAACTTGATTAGGGAAAGAAAAATAGCAAAATAATGACATCAGGTGCCATGTTTCATGGCTTTCAATGTGCCAGGCTTTGATCTATTTATCATGCGCAGCTTGCTTCTTTTCACCTGCACAGTCCCATATTGTTGTCTTATAGAAAAAAAGGAGTTTGTTTTGTAACATCTAGTATGCTTTAGGTAGAACAAGATGACACTTTGTAAAAATTAATCTGAGCAATGACAGAGGGCATTTTTACTGGAGAGTGGTAGCATGGACATGCATTGACAATGTAACCAGGCACTTCTGGTCCCTATCACTACAGAAAAACTTTCCTGTTCATGGAGCCTTTCACAGTGGGAGGTGGGGCAGCTGAAAGTGCAGAGTGGTAGGTGGCTCCTGCTGTGGCTATCATGGGAAGGATTGCTCTAGAATACAGGGAAAGGGCTGGGGAATTATCTCAGTGGGGCCTCTGCCTGCCTGTCAAGTGCAAGGTTCCTAGTTCAATCCCTGGTACCAAATAAATAAATATTATACAGGGAAAGGTAAGATAAATATGTGCACTGTGGAGTCATCTGCTCTTTGGGTTGCTTGACACCGATGCATCATTTCATCCCTTTTGATGGTATGAGTGGCATGCATGTGATGGTGATCACCTTTGACAGGTTTGTGGCCATTTCTCACCCCTTGAATTACACTTCAATGTGAACATTTATCTGAATTGTTTTTTAATTTGAGTTCATTTTTAATCACCTTTGGCATTGCAAGCTGCACAATGTATTTGTCTTACAATTTTCCTAATGAAAAGATATGTAAATTGTTCATACTTTGCTACACTTCCAAATTGCATAATCTCACTTGACTTGTTTGTATTTATTTATTTATTTTTGTACCAGAGATCAAACTCTGGACCTTGCACTTGGGAAGCAGACGGCAGAAACACTGAGCTAAATTCCCGGCCCTCACCTGACTTGTTTTACAACTTTAATAATTATATAGTCTTGAGTTTTCTGGAGCCATATGTTTTTACTTTTATACCATCTCTTACTAAAATTATTTTTTCAATTCTGAGATCCATCATTGGGAATTTTTTCCATTAAGTTTCACTGTACATCTTAAGTATGTAATACAGTTACATTCATCTTTGAGATCTTGTACCTTTACATGATACATCTTGGTTTTTATTTTTCTCCATTCCCCTGCCCTCCCTTCATTCCCCACCCTTCCTTATTTGCAAAGACTTTGTTTCCATTTTTGTCTTTTCTCATAATTTTTTCTTTTCCCATCTTAGCTTTCCACTACCACCTCCTTAATGTGGTGAAAGGTTTCACCTGTCTGATTTTTTTATTTCATGTAACAGACATTGGAATACCTCCATTGTATTATTCCATAAATGGCTAGGATTAGAGGTTCCATTTGACCCAGCCATCCTGCTGCTAGGTATCTTTCCAAAAGAATTAAAATAATCATATCACATGATATATGCACACCTATGTTTATAGTGGCACAGTTTGTAATAGCTAAAACTTGGAAACAGCCCAATTGCCCATCAGTTGGAGACTGGATAAAGAATATGTGGTTTTTCTATAAAATAGAATACTACTCAGCCATAAAAAATGAGAAACTAGAGTCATTCACAGGAAAATTGATGAATATTGAGATCATATTCTTAAGTGAAATAAATAAGTAACACATGTGTAAATACTGAATAGTTTCTCTGGTGTGAAAAACTATAATCATGAATAACATCCTAATGGTATAATTAACAATGTGAAATAAGAAGAAAAGGGCTAAAGGTTTTTGGGAAGTAGGAAGGGTAGGGGAAGGAAAATAAGGGAACAGAAAAAAATCTGAGAAAATGAAAAAAATGGAAATAAAGTTTTTTGTAAATAAGGAAGGGAGAAGGGGGTGAAGGGAGGGCAGGGGTATGAGGCCATGATTAGTCTATAAATGGGATTATAATTCATTACATTGTGGTCATTCTTGATGAGTCACTTCATCTCCACCTTAGAGAAAATAATGCTAAAATGTTCCAAGTAGGCACTCCTGTAGGCCAGTCTAATTCAGTGCATGTGACATCCACTGAAAGGAAAATTGGGAACAATACCAAAATTTAATATAAAGATCTGTAAATCTTTCCTCCTTGATTACATTATTTTGGCAGTTCAATGGTGTGAATTCAACAGCATGGTTCATGGTAAAATGATAGCTTCAAGAGCTGTGTAGGGAAAGAGTATTTTAAATTTTAAAGTTTTAAATTTGGCTATACATTTTTTAGTTTGTCAACTTCAAAAATATTCAAAAGGGAAAGGAAACTATGGAAGAAGGGCAGGGGATGAAAATAAAAAAAAAAAAAAAGGGAAAAAGCGTTTGTAAATAGGGAGGGCTGGAGGGCCTGAAGGGAGGGAAGGGGAATGGTCAAAAATAAGAACTAAGATATATACACATAGGTAAAAATTCACATCAATGAATGTAATTATATTGTATACCTAAAATGCACGAATAAATTTAATTTAATTAATTAAAAAAGTAAGGGTATTGATGATGGTGATGGTTTTAAAACTCACAATTAATGGTATTTTATTAATGACACTGAAATTGTGTACATAATATGGTTGATGTAAGTTTCCATTGTGTATCTATTATGATACAAAATAGAAATAAATAGTACATGGATTGTTTTTAAAAGATAGAAATGTAATAAGTGAATAAAATACACAAGATTCCTAAGTATGGTATTACATAAAATACACTTGTTGATATTATTTTTCCTTTTGTCTCCTATCTTCTTTAGTGACATAAAGGTCTTAGAGATTGGAGAACAGGTACAAATGTAAATAATTATGGGCTCTTAGCACTGTGCGCCACAGTCATATAATGATTAAGAATAACTTGTCACTCCAGCTCTTCATTTGTTTATTGAAACACACATGGCTTCCTATTCCATTCACGGCTACATCAGGATGCTCTTATCTGACTTTTTATTCATAGAAACACTGATAACTGTAACTGAGACTTCAATCCTCAACAGGCTTGGAGGGCTGGACTTAGGATCTGTACTCACTGGTCATGACACAGCAGAAAAGTGGCATAAACCAGTAATGGCAAAGGGAGGACATTAATATACCAAAGTCTCTTGGAGTAATGGTTGATTCATCTAAAGTACAAATATGACAGTCTTGATAGCCAGATGGGGAGAGTATAATATTTGATGTTTCCACGACAACGAATGAATGTATTCCTTTGATTGTGGCAAATGTACTGCAAAACTCCTTTAAAATTTGCTTTACACACTTGTTGCTTCTGCTTGTCATAGATATCTCACCAACAACATCAGAAGTTGGTTCTCTTTAATTTGTCTCCTAGGCAGTCTAAAATGATTGTTGAGGTAAAGATAAGAACAAGGAGGTGGCTGACAACAGTCATACCATCCAAAACTGTTATCATCAATTAGACTGAGCCTAGTGCATGAAAATATGAACAAAAAATATCTGTTAAACATTGATAGAATCTCCACATATTTACAAAGACAGAGCATAAGCACTGTGGCTTCCACACAACTTGTTTATCACAGTTAATATCCAGTGTATAGTATCAGACCACAATGCAGTTAAACTGGAGATCAATATCATAAGAAACCACAAGAACTTCACAAACACATGGAAAATGAATAACCCTCTCCTGAACAACCAGTGGGTCACAGCAGACATTAAAGAAGAAATTAGACTTTTATTAGCATGCAGGAATTTATGGGACACAGAGAAAGTAGTTTTAAAAGGGAATTTCATAGCAGTGAATGCCAACACTGGAAAAACAGTGTGTACAAATAAACAACCTAAAGGTGATTCTTAAGCTACTAGAACAAGACGAGCAAGACAAACCCAAAGATCATAT